TATATGAAATAAACATTGACAGAACTTAAGGGAATTAATAGAAAATAGCACAATAATAGTCAGAGATTTCAATACTACGTTTTCTTTCTTTTTTTTTTTTTTTTTTTTACAAGCAGAGTTAGTCAGTGAGAGAGAGACAGAGAGAAAGGTCTTCCTTCCATTGGTCCACCCCCCAAATGGACGCCACGGCCAGCACACTGCACCGATCTGAAGCCAGGAGCCAGGTGCCTCCTCCTCGTCTCCCATATTGGTGCAAGGCCCAAGCACTTGGCCCAAGCACTTGGGCCATCCTCCACTGCATTCCCGGGCCATAGCAGAGAGCTGGACTGGAAAAGGAGCAACCGGGACAGAATCCGGCAGCCCAACCGGGACTAGAACCTGGGGTGCTGGCACCGCAGGCGGAGGATTAGCCTAGTGAGTCATGATGCCGGCCTCAATACTACATTTTCAATAACAGATAAAACTTTCAGACAGAATATCAGTAAAGAAACACAGGATAGGGGCTAGTGTTGTGGTGTAGCAAAGAAAGCTGCTGCCTGCACATATGGCCGCTAATTCATGTCCTAGCTACTCCACTTCTGATCCAGATCCCTACTAATGGCCTGGAAAAAGCCACAGATGATGGCTCAAGTGTTTGGGCCCCTGCCACCCATGTGGGATATCCAGGTGAAATTCCTGGCTCCTGGCAGCCTGTTCAGCCCTGGCTTTTTCAGCCATCTGGGGACTGAATCTGCAGATAGAAGATCTCTTTCTCTCTCCTTTTATCTCTGTAACTCTTTCAAAATAAATTTAAAAATAGAAAAGAAAGGTAAGAAAGGAACAACACGATCGACCAAATGGTATTAACAAACATATACAAAACATTCTACTTAAAAGCAGCAGAATATATATTGTTCTCGAGCACACATGGACTGTTCCTAAGGATAGAGCACATATTAGATCACAAAACAAGTCTTAACAAACTTAAGATGATTCAAGTCATAGCAAATAAATTTTCCAACATCAAGTGGATTACGCTAGAAAATTAACAGAATGTAAATTGAAAAATTACAATATGTGGAAATTGACAGCACACACACTTGAAAAACTATGAATCAAACAAGAAATCAAAAGGGAAATTAGAAAATATCTCAAGAGAAATTAAAATGAAAATGCAACATACATAAACTTATGAGATGCAGCAAAGGAAATACTAGAAGCAGATTTATAGGGGTAAATGTCTGCCACAATGTGTCCCTGCAGCAATAGCAAAATTTAATTCATAAACACAAGAAATACATTGTTCACAGTTCTGGAACCATGAACCTATGAAATAAAACATAGCATATGCTTCCTAAATACAGACGCCCTTGACTTACAATGAGATAATATCCCAATAAAGCCATCATAACTACAAAATATTGGAAGTTAAAATTTTAATGCACTTTACATAACAGCAACTAGCACACCATACAGTGTTAGTGATTTACTCTCATTATCATATAGCTGACCAGGAGCTGTAGCTCACTGCTAATTCCCAGCTCATGATAGAGTCTTACACAGCATATACACAGCTCAGAAAAAAGATCAAAGTTCACAATTAGAAGTTTGATTTACACTGAATGTATATCATTTTCATTCTATCATAAAGTAAAACATGTCAAAAATTGAGCCATATTAAATAAGGGATTGTGATTAAAATGGTGAAACAGGCATAAAATAGATGTTCCTATATAAGAATGGAGACATAGGAAAGAAAAAATGGGTAATAGGTCTCAGACAAATCCAAACTCCACAAGTCAATTATTAAATCTTAAGGTTCTAGAATAATCTTTGACTCAAAAGTCACTCTGGGGCAAAGGTTGGACCTTGAAAGCTCTGAACATATCCACTCTCCTGACTTTCTGTATGCAGCTCATGCAGCAATTACCACATACTAGAGTCACATACCTATGAATCTCTCAGGCTGGAATGGCATGCTGATGGATCCTCTGGTTTGTGGTTCTAAGGGACAGCCCTCCTACCCTGAGCGTTGCCCTAGTAGGAGATCTCTGTGTTGGCCCCAAGCCTGTGGAAGATCTTTCTCTGGGCTCCCAGGCTTTCTGGTGCATCCTTTGAAATACAAGGAGGTAGCAATGCTCCTATAGTGTATATATTTTGTGTATCTGTGGAAAAGGTTCTGCCTGAACACCAAGACAGTTTGCCATCCATGCCTTCCAGAGGGATGGCCTAAGCCACATCCAGGTGCACTGAAACAATAATAGGAGCAGCAAGGGAGCACTGTACTGGCATTCAGGGTGTAATGCCTTGATTCTGCTCCAAATGCAAAGTAACAAAGGAAGGAACAGACTGCTGAAAAGAGGTAGCTGTTTAAACTTCCAGAATCATATTGGTATCAAATAAATGCAGAAGGACAGTAGTTTTGAATTGAATACAGACTTCTTTATTGAAAATAAAAGATACAATATGATTTTGATTACATAATAAAATGCAACTGATGGAGAGGGATTTCTTTACTTGGGTATATTCTCCAGGTAGCCAAGGGGTAAGCAAAGCAAAAAGCTCTTTGTTTTTCGTTTCTAAACTTGGGCTTAGGGCTAACAGCGCATGTTTGTAGACAGGAGAAAACAAGGTCTATGAAGGAAATGTGAGCCATGGGGGTAGAAGCTTCCTCTGATGTGGTAGTTATTTGGTGGAGCTTTGCCTTACATTGATTCTCATCTGTTAGTCAGCTAGGGACCCCTGCCCATATTCTGCTTAAAATAGAACTGCTATCAATATAGGGAAGAGCCTCTCACTTTTTTTTTCTGTGCAGGAAAATAAAATTGCTATTCCAAGGTAGGTGTTAACGGGTTAACTGCCAAAGAGCTCTCCATTCCTCTTGCCTTACTCTCCTGCTGGGGCAAATGATTTTCTTTTACCTACAACTGACAGTTATCCAAATTCATAATGTGATTCTCTTGACAGGGATGGCCCACAGTGGTTCATGGATCTTTTGTGCTCAACAGTAATGGAAGATGAATGACACCGTGAACATTTATTTGAGATATGTGAGGAATTCAATGGATTAAGGACCTGGAGTCTTGAGTTAGGCTATTTGGTGGGAAGACCAGCTAGCCATGTTACTGTGGTGGCTGCTGCTGCCAACCTCAATTACAAACATATCTGTGGGTGCTAAGGTTGAAGTGGCAGTGATTTCCTTGAATCACTCTCCTCAACTGCCCGCCAAGAAATGAGATTAGCTAAATTTGGTGGGAATAAAATGGAATATGCCTGAGATAACTCTCATTACTTGTGGCAAATTGAGATGCTGTTTTTCTAAGATATCTTGGCCTGGCTACTAATATACATACCAGGGTAAGATCAGCACCCTGTATGTAAACCACCACATCTCTTAAAACAGCCACATTTTGACATGAGTATATAGATAGAAAAAGAAATGAGAGAGAGAGAGAGAGAGAGAGAGAGAGAGCTGTCTGAGAGCTTCTGAGAAGAAATGGATGTTTGAAGAACTGCAGGGTAAAGGACTTAGATAAGAACTAAAAAATCTATGAAAAATCTCTTTTGGCAACTCCTAGAGTTGGCTAAGACTATTTATAGTCTTCTGCTGAGCACTCAAAAATACACAGGAGTTCAAAGAGACGAATGAAAGAATGTAAGCAGTCATCAAGTAGCTGTACAATTGTTCTCATAAGGAAGACATTAGATGCCTCAGAATTTTTATCAAAAGTTAAAAGTGTCTTCAATCCCTAAGTGCCTTCTTGTTTTCATAGTCTAGACGTGAATATTTAAAAATTCCAAGGAATATGTCAAAAAGAAACTCGTCATGCTGATTGAAAGATCTTATCAACTAAGTTGGAAATACAGCAAGTCAGAGACACTCTTTGGACCCATGCAAGGATCCCCAAAACACTTGGTTAGTTGGACTCTCTTACAAATCAGACTCAGCCTCCCCAACTCCTCAAGTTATTGGATACGTCAGAGCCAGTTACAATCAATTCTTGGGGCCGGCACCGTGGCTCGCTTTGTTAACCCTCCACCTTGTGGCACCGGCATCCCATATGGGCGCCAGGTTCTAGTCCCGGCTGCTCCTCTTCCAGTCCAGCTCTCTGCTGTGGCCCGGGAAGGCAGTGAAGGATGGCCCAAGTGCTTGGGCCCTGCACCCGCACGGGAGACCAGGAGGAAGCACCTGGCTCCTGGCTTTGGATAGGCATAGCTCTGGCCATAGCAGCCATTTTATGAGTGAACCAACGAAAGGAATATGTTTCTCTCTGTCGCTCTCACTGTCTAACTCTATCTGTCAAGTAAATTTAAAAAATTTAAATTTTTTTTTTAAATTTATAGGACTAAGAACCAAAGGGATCATATAAACAAGAATAGTGTCTGCAAATACTAGCTGATAGAATAAAAAAGGGAGAAAATGATCCAACATGGGAAGTGAGATACACAGCAGACCCATAGAATGGCAGATGTCCTAAACAGCACTCTGGCCTCAGAATCAGCCCTTAAGGCATGTGGATCCGGCTGAAATGCCCATGAGAGTATTTCAGGCATGGAAAGCCAAGACACTCTGAAAAAAAAAAAAAAACACCTAAATGAAAGGTCTCCGTGAGTGAGATCCCAGTGGAAAGAACGGGTCATCAAAGAAGGAGGTACCTTTCTCTGAAGGGAGGAAAGAACTTCCACTTTGACCATGGCCTTGTCTAAAAATGATCAGAGTCAGTGAACTCAGGGGGCTTCCATAGCCTTTGCAGCTCATGACAAGAGCCTCGGATGATTACTGAGGCCATAAACAAGAGTGTCCATTTGTTAAGTCAACAACAGGAGTCACTGTGCACTTACTCCTCTTGTAGGATTTCTGTCCTTAGTGTGCTGTACATTGAGATTTAATGCTATAACTAGTACTCAAACAGTA